GTTATTTAAGCGCAAAGCCAAACAATGGGCTATATAGTCTCTGCCCACCGCGGAGAATCGAACCCCAAATTTTAGCTTTGGAAGCCCTTAAACGTACCGTTGATCCACCGGGAATATTAACATAGAGACAAATAATATTATCGGCTACGTTAAGAGACCAGAAAGATACTATAATCGTATATTTTATTCGACAGTTGATTTTGAATAGCTCCATGATCAGTATTCTTAACCGAATGCGAGAAGAAGTGACACGAACAATGGAGGCCATAAGAATGTAGATTTTATAGCTCAAGAGTATTTTATTCAAGCTAAAACACATAAAGCAGTCGCTTATGTTGGATCATTTATTAGCATATATTTTGTTTTGCTGACGTCATTGAAGAGGAGGAGGAGTGGGGTAAATGCGCGCAGCCCTCAATTAAAAAGGCAAATCGCTTTGGAAAAGTTTGTCTGGAACTTGTTCGAAACAGCAAATCATTAAGGAGTTGGTTGGCGTTACCCACCACGTCTTTCATGCGTTGTAGAACTGAAAACGAAATTGCTGGGACGGTAAAGCTTAATAACAGGTGACGGCATATAAAATTATAATAAGCTGTAAAGGACAGCCACGATATCACAATCACGGGTAACTTATGGAACATTGCTTGAACACGCTCGAGTGTGTGTCTGTGTATTTATTTGTGTTTTAAAAAGACTACATTTTTTTGTTTGTTTCTTTGCTTGTTGTAAAGCACAAAAATACACGATGGGTTACTTGTGCTTTGCCAACCGCGAGTATCGAAACCCGATTTGTAGCGTTATAAGCCAGTTGAACCACTGGAGTGTGTAGTGTGTATTCTAATGAATGCATATGTGGTACACATATTTTTCACAATGCAATCTTTACTATGGTATTTTCAAAAACAACAACTATGGGGGCTTATAGCACTAGAATCCCTGATTTGCTCCCCACAGTGGATAAGTGGAGACAGCACATTATATAGCTTTTTTGTGCTTATATAAAAGCAAACCATTTATAAATTACACAAGAACACGGAGGAATCCTGGTATCAGGCGAAGGGCTTGGTTGGCACTGGATATAGCAGGTATAGTGTGGTTGACATATTCTTTTTTACTTTTTCACTAGCGAGTTCTTAAAAAATACTTTTAAGCTAATGTATTTCCTGTATTCACTAATTTCATTAAAAATCACGTTGGGTGTGGTAAAGCAAAAACTTGAGTTAAGTATTTCCCCCCCCCCTCAACAATCTAATTTTTATTTTGACTAAAAAAAGGGGGTAATTATTTTGGGAAGTTTTAACAAACAATTTAGACAACATATAATAACTATGGTGACACTTCTTTACCATGTGTAAGTTAGTATCAACGAATTGGAAGAATGGCCAATATTTACAGCAGCCGCGCAAAGTTTATGAAGTTATTAGTTTTCGAACTGTTTCCCAAGCCAAGGATTA